CCTCCCATAGTTCCCAGGGGGATTGAGCTCCAAGTGCTCACAATAGTAACTGACTTGATAATTGCCCCACTTTCCTAGAATCAACCCTCAAACTACCTGTGATCAATCCTTATCTACCTCTGGGGGAACTCAAATCATGACAGTTATCTTTTCCTTTCTCAAAAGAAATGTCTCCTGGGATAGGCATGAAATCTTCCTTTAACACAATACTTTCAAACTTTTTGGTAGCAGGACCTCTTTAAACTAAAAAGTTATTGAGGATCCCAAAGAGCTTTTGTTTATGTGAGCTATACCTATTGATATTTACCTATTAGAAATTAAAATTGATACAAAATTTATTCATTTAAAATGCATAATAATAAATGCATTGCATGTTAACATAAATACTGTTTTGTATGAAAAATATAGTCTCCAAAACAAAAAGTTTTTTAAAAAATTGCTTTAATAACTGGCTTACTGGAAAACCATTAGATTCTCATATCTGCCTCAGCATCCAATCTATAACAAAATCATAGGTCATGTAATCTCTGGAAAAATTAATGAGTGAAAAAGGCAAGGAACATCTTAGTATTAATGTGAACATAGTTTTGACCTTGTGGATCCCCTAAAAGGGCCTCACACACTGAGAACCACTACTTTAGCATAACAGGTTCCTATAGGCCAGCGGTTCTCAACACCCCCTTAGGGGTCGCCTAAGACCATCGGAAAACACATATATAATTACATATTATTTTTGTGATTAATCACTATGCTTTAATTATGTTCAATTTGTAAGAATGAAAATACATCCTGCATATCAGATATTTACATTACAATTCATAACAGTAGCAAAATTATAGTTATGAAGTAGCAACGAAAATAATTTTATGGTTGGGGGTCACCACAACATGAAGAACTGTATTAAAGGGTCGCGGCATTAGGAAGGTTGAGAACCACTGCTATAGGCAATGAATAACATTGCACAATAGCCAAGACACATGATTAAGTTTTAAAAGGGGGAAGGGGCAATCAAAGAATGAACAAAGAATATGTTTTTATGATTATCAACATGCACTAATGTGGTGCTCATTCTCAAAGCCTTTCTTCTATTCTTGACACCAGTTCCCTTGGAATAGTATAATTGCTTGCCAATCTTAAAACAAAACAAAACACTCATAGGCAATATCAAGCTAATTTTGCTTTTTTACTATCCTAAGCAGCTTCCAGTAGATAGGCTACTTTTTAACCACTAATCTAGTCTTCCACACGTAAGTTCAGCTTACTCTTTCACACTGTCAATCACCCTCATTATCTGCCATTTCTGTTCATTTCTGAATACTTATTATTATTCACTAGAGGCCCGATGCACAAAATTCATGCCAGAGTAGGCCTTCCTTCCCCCGGCTGCCGGCACCAGGCTTCCCTCCGGCACCCAGGACCCGGGCTTCCCTTGCAGCCCTAGCTTCATCCTTCCAGACATCCGGTCTAATTAGCATATTACACTTTTATTATTATAGATAACAATGACATTTATTATTATTCATTAATAAAATATCATTTACTCATTAATAAATAATCAATATATCTTCTGGTTGAACTGAACAGACAAGGCCAAATTAAAAAGCAAAATGCAGAAGGTCAAGCTTTCAGTCAAGATGGAAGAGTAGATACTGGTAAATGTGGTACTCACATCCTCTCACAAGCACATCTAAATTACAATTAAAACTACAGAGCAACCATCATTCAGAACTGCCTGAAATCTAGCTCTAAGTCTTATAACTAAGGATATAAAAAAGAAGTCACATCAAGACTGGTAGGAAAAGCCCTGGCCAGGTAGCTCAATTGGTTAGAGCAGCGGTTCTCAACCTGTGGGTGGCGACCCCTTTGGAGGTCGATCGACCCTTTCACAGGGGTCGCCTAAGACCATCGGAAAACACATATATAATTACATATTGTTTTTGTGATTAATCACTATGCTTTAATTATGTTCAATTTGTAACAATGAAATTGGGGGTCACCACAACATGAGGAACTGTATTAAAGGGTCTCGGCATTAGAAAGGTTGAGAACCACTGGGTTAGAGCATCGTCCCCATATGCCAATGTTGTGGGTTCAATACCCCAGTAAGGGCACATACAAGGCTCAACCAATGAACGCATAAATAAGTGGAACATCAAATCAATGTTTCTCTTTCTCACTGGCTTCCCCTTCCTCTCTCTAAAATCAATTTTTAAAAATGACAAAATAAAAATAAAAAAAGACTTGTAGGAGGCGTGGTCCCACACCAACATGTGGTTGCAGAGGTGCCCCCCTCCCCTCAAGGAGGTCACAGTTTGAGTTTTGGGCTTGATCCCCGGTGGGGGGCATGCAGGAGGCTACCAATCAATGATTCTCTCTCATCATTGATGTTTCTATCTCTCTCCCTTCCTCCCTCTGAAATCGATTTTTTTAAAAACATTAAAAAATTTATTGTCTTTCTTGAACTCTATGTTACAGCCATATTAACCTGTCGGTTCCTTTAAATGTTGGGAACGCTTTTTAACCACTAGTTTTCCACACATAAGTTCAGCTTACTCTTTCACACTGTCAATCACCCTCATTACCTGTCATTTCTATTCATTTAACAGGTCTTCACTGAGATATCAGTTCTTCAAGGAAACTTTTCCTGAGTCTCCTAGACTAAATTTTACTTCTCTGCTATATGGTCCCACAGTTCTCAAGACCCTTATCTTCAGGGTAACCACATTACTTATCATCTAAATACCATTTTGAGAATGAATGGGGAACTATTAATAACACTGAGGAACACTGTCACCCTACCATATCAGTTTATCTTTCCTGCTTAAGTGAAAGCTTCATAAGGAGAGTATGGGTCTGCCTCTATTCCCTAACACAGCTCTATGCTTACAAAGTAAGAGGTGTGCTCTCACTCACTGTCTCTCAATGAATGGCATGACTTATGCAAATTAACGTGAAAAAGGGAAAACTCAAACAGACAAAATGAACTACCCAATCCTGATACTTTTCCATCTCTATATCATATCTTTACCAAGGCTTTTTATTTCATGCTTCACTACTCACCCCACCCCTCATCAGAAAAACTTCATGGGAGCAGAGAATGTCTGTTTTCTTAATTGCTGTTGCCCCAGCACCCAGAATTGTACCTGCTCATGGCACTCAATACTAAATACTAAATGTTGTTCTACCTTGCCCTGCCTGACTTGATCTGAAAGTCAAACCACATAACCCATGAAACCTTCCCAGATAGTCCCAGTAAAATAGTCTCTCCTTCCTCTGCACACAATGACATTTTATGTCTTTCTTATAATACTTTCCATACATACTTTACCTTTGTGCTAGAATTGTGTCTTTATCATATCTCATTTTTCTTAGTATACCCCACAGCACCCAAGTATAATGCCTGACACAGTACCTACAGAACAAATATCTGTCAAATTAAATTGGTAAAATGATAGTACTACAGACAATTACAGGTATATGTTTTGAAACCTGATACCACTCTAATTTTCTAGAGAACTTTCTCATTTATGTACACATTCCTAGCCCAGGCCATTACCATTTTACCAACTAGACTACTGCAACTCCATCTACTCAGCATTGAGGAGGTTTAGAACAAGCCACTGTAGAATGTGCCAATTTAGTTTGTGAATTATTTTGAGCTGAAGGCAATAAAGACCCAGCAGAGTCAGCAAAAGCTTTTTACATCCTCCTAACTGCCTAAAGGAAATTAGAAAGGTGGCCTGTACCAGTAAGAGAATTATTACCAAAGATAACTTTATATCTAAGAGGCTTATCTGCATGGCACAGCAAACATCTATTTACCAAACATTTGCTCTTCCCACCTTCCTGTGAATTGCTTTTCTCCCTTTTGAAGACCCCTATCTCTATCCCTCTCCTTAGCCTCAATTGCCTGGCTGCTTGTGAGTCTTATAGTTTTGTGGTGCTCCCATATGTACTGGTACATACCTAATTAAACTGTCTCCTAGTAATTCTGTCTTTTATTAGAGGGGTTTAGAACAAATTTATTTGACCAAATGTTTACTGTTTCTTTCATCTTATCATATTCCCTTTGACCTGATTGATTCTGCAAACATTTACTGATACCTATTGTAAGCTGTAAAAATCACTAACACTGGAGACATATATTTCCTCTGTTCTTAGGGGATCACAGCCTAACAAAGGAAACAAATACAGAAACGTTATCTACAAAGTGTGAGAAATCCTATAAAAGAACATTGGAAAAATTCTACAAGAATGTGAATGAGTAAATGAGGAAAAGCTTCATAATGTACTTAACATTTGAAATGGGTCTTGAAGAACAGTAGGGTAAAATATGTATATATATGTGTATGTGAGAGAGAAAGAGCTGAAATGCTAGAAAATGTACAATGAGAAAGCTGAAAGGTAAAGTTAATGTCTGGTGACAGTCTAAGTGTTTACTAAAAATATGTTACAATAAACAACTTAGAATACCAACTAGAGTTCCTTTTTCTCCAAATCTCAGAGATAAAATTAATCTTGCAAATTAATTTTTAAGCATGAATTTACAAGTAAGAATTATCTTACAAATAACACATACACTTAACAGATTTTGTGTATAAAATAATTATTACATAGTTGGAAGAAGGAAAATTCAAATTAATTAGACTGTATGCAGTGAAAAAGAATAGTTTTGTTAACTAAAACCAACCCTCAATGTTGCACATGCCAGAGGAAAGAGTCTAAAATTAAAACTCAAGAAACCTGGATTTGAGTCTCAGATAACAGTTGTGCCCTAATTACAAAAACAACCAACACACCTTTTACTTAATTCCTAAACTGCCCATCTCACCTGAGGTAAGATCAAATAAAATAATGAATTTGAAAGTGATTTGAAAAAATACAAAATGCTATACAGATTAAGTATTACCTTCATTACAGTTATACTTGCTGTATTGAAAATGAACCTTGAAAATCTATATTTCTGACATAATGACACAAACTAAATAAAGAGCTTATACCCGTTCTACAGATCGTGCTCTCTTCTTTGGCCGAGTAGGCAGCGCATCTTCCTTCGGATTGGTGTCTATTGCCCAATAGGACCCCTAAAGGTAAAGAAATAAATTATATTAACAATATATCCCAGCAACTCTATAACATTAAAATGGATTGTTACAATCCTATGCTCCAAAAGCAAACATTTTGCAAATACAACAAAAGTAACATGAGAGCCCAGCCAACAAGGCTCAGTGGTTAAGCACAGACCTATGAACCAGGAGGTCACAGCTCAATTCCTAGTCAGGGCACATGCCTGGGTTGCGGGCTCGAACCTGATCCCCAGTGTGAGGCATGCAGAAGGCAGCTGATCAATGATTCTCTCTTATCATTGATGTTTCTTTTCTATCTCTCTCTCTCTCTCCCTCTCCCTTCCTCTCTGAAATCAATATATATATATATATCCTA